GGATATTGAAATGACACCATGTAATAGAAGAATAGTTTGTGTTTTTCACATTGTGATTATTAATAGTAATTTAACATATCTTTCTGATGCTATTATTGACACGAATATGTATATGTATACTGCTCAAAGGAAGTTAAGGAATACCCATTTCTTTTATATTACTGTAGTTGATTAAATCTGTCATGCCATGACAGATTCACTGTAGAAAGTTTGTAAGAATCTGGTGTTCATTTACGTCTTTTGAGTAGTATATACTGATGGAAAGAAATAATGCAACAGTTATAAATAGGTAACTACCTGCTGTGTTCTGTATGGTATACATGTCAGATACAATGGGTGACTCTCCAAGAAACAAAGCATCATCTGTAGTCTTTGTGGAACAACTTGAAGATCTTCACTTCTACTCAATTTCTATGTCTTCCCTCATTTCTTTCCATCAGTATAGTTCTCTAAGATAGTCATCTGTAAGTTGAGATCTAACCCAGTGCTATTTCTGACTGTCTCACAGTCAAGCCGTCGATGCCAGGTAAATGTTGTCTCTTTATATCTGTCTGTAGCTGTTTGTCTCAAGAAGATGCCTGCAAGCTATGATAAACCTTACCTTGCCTCAGTGTAGACGTCATCCTCTAGTCTATGTCTAACATCATATTCATCCTTAGTCAGTTTATAAAATCACATTTTCCTCTAGTCCATGTATAACATCATATTCTCTTCCTGTCTGTGTATAGTATCATATTCTCCTCCTGTCTATGTATAGCATCATATTCTCCTCTAGTCTGTATAGCATCATATTCTCTTCCTGTCTGTGTATAGTATCATATTCTCCTCCTGTCTATGTATAGCATCATATTCTCCTCTAGTCTGTATAGCATCATATTCTCCTCCTGTCTGTGTATAGCATCATATTCTCTTCATGTCTGTGTATAGTATCATATTCTCCTCCTGTCTATGTATAGCATCATATTCTCCTCTAGTCTGTATAGCATCATATTCTCCTCCTGTCTGTGTATAGCATCATATTCTCCTCCTGTCTGTGTATAGCATCATATTCTCCTCTAGTCTGTGTATACATCATATTCTCCCCTGTCTGTGTATAGCATCATATTCTCCTCCTGTCTGTGTATAGCATCATATTCTCCTCTAGTCTGTGTATAGTATCATATTCTCCTCCTGTCTGTGTATAGCATCATATTCTCCCCTGTCTGTGTATAGTATCATATTCTCCCCTGTCTGTGTATAGCATCATATTCTCCCCTGTCTGTGTATAGCATCATATTCACCCCTGTCTGTGTATAGCATCATATTCACCCCTGTCTGTGTATAGTATCATATTCACCCCTGTCTGTGTATAACATCATATTCACCCCTGTCTGTGTATAGTATCATATTCACCCCTGTCTGTGTATAGTATCATATTCTCCTCCTGTCTGTGTATAGCATCATATTCTCCTCTAATATGTGTATAACATCATATTCTCCTCTAGTCTGTGTAGAACACCAGTCTCCTCTAGTCTGTGTATAACATCATATTCTCCTCCTGTCTGTGAAGCCCATTTCTGGTGTCCCCGCCGTGATGTTGCTGGAATATTGATAAAAGTGGCATAAAACCATACTCACTCACTCACTCTCCTACCTGTGTATAACATCATTCTCCTCTATTCTGTGCATAATGCCATATTGCGTATGACATCTCTACCCTATGCATGATATTGTATTCTTCTGTAGTAATGTGTAAAACAAATTTTCATGTACTTCTGTAGTAATGTGTATAACATATTTTCATTGTATTCTCCAGCAATCTAATTGCTTTTCAAGAACTCCAGTAATCTGTGTATGACATCCCTAGTCTGTGGATGACACATTTTCCTGATGACCATGTATGACACTGTGTTCTCCTGTAGTTGAGCTATCATGTTAACCTCTAGTCTATATCTGACCTATTCTCCTCTGTGTATGTTTTGTATGACATCGTATATTCTCCTTGTCTGTGTATGGCATGTTTTGGTCTAATCTTTTTATCTTTGTTTTACTTTATGTTTTGCATGCTTGGATTTAATTCAAAGCATCAGATCAAAGCTAGCATCTGAGCTGAACTTCATTCTGATAAACATAACTCAGTTATCCATGGCACTGAAATTTGCTGTGCAGAGTTGCCTACCTTTGGCCCATGTGAAACCTGTTTACCTTTGTTTGAATCCCTCAGTTGTGTTGCTAGGTCCGCTAGTACCATACTCAAGGGTTTCACCAAAGTGATAAATGTCTGAGAAACTTCTTTAAAACATTAACCTGACATTGTGTAATATAACTGGTGACTTGTTTCATGTTGTGTTTAACCCAACTCACTCACTCACTTAGTTCAATAGCACCCATGTCAATCCGGGTTAGAATTGGTCTTCAGCAACCCTTGCTTGTCTCCCCATGAAGATCCGGGTTATTATTGGTCTTCAGTAACCCATGCTTGTCTCCCCCGTGAAGATCCGGGTTAGAATTGGTCTTCAGCAACCCATGCTTGTCTCCCCGTGAAGATCCGGGTTAGAATTGGTCTTCAGCAACCCATGCTTGTCGTAAGAGGCAAGTAATGGATCACATGGTCAGACTCGCTGACTTAGTTGACACACTGTATCCCAACTGCATAGATCAATGTTCATGATGTTGATCACTGGATTGTCTGGTCCAGACTCGATGGTTTACAGACTCCCGCCATATAGCTGGAATATTGCTGAGTTTAACAACAAATAAACAAACAAGCAAATATTTCTATAGCTGTCAACAACCTGTGTTGAAGTGGGGATGTGAGATACGCATAGATGAAACCTGTGATGGTTAGCTGTTAGTTGTCAGGGCTGCAGCTAGTAATACCAACCTTTGTTAAATGTTTCCCAGGTTTTTAATTCATGAATCTTTTTATACATTTATATGATTTCCTATTTTGTACTAAAACATATTTGATAATGCTTGGTGCAGTTGTAGCATGAGTGTGCCTGTTGTGTCTGTGGCCCTCGGCATCGTTGAGACATAAAGTCTTTAAGTTATCCAGACTGAAATAACCTCTGTTCTTGCTTTGACAAGGTAACTATTCATGTGAACTGAAGATCTCTTTAGTTTGGACATCACATTTGCTTGCAGATTTATGTTACAAGTTGAATTCAGTTGTCATAGATACATGCATGATTATGTTAGCTGACTGAACTTGTGCATGATTTATATTGACTATGGAAAAAACAACAATAGCTTTAGTTTGTCATGAGGTATGTCTTATAGAAGATCATTTAAAGTACATATTTTAATGGTATCTTTATTATAATGGTTGTTAAAAGAACAATGTACAATCAATATTTAAAGTCTTTTCCAGTATCTTTGTTGAAGTAAGGCCAAAACAAAGACAAACCAGATTCCTGGTTTAAAGTAGTTTGTCTGTTTCTGCCTGTCATGTTCTGTTGATAACATAGTAATCAAGCTGCGATACATTATTTATACCACAGAGTTGATAGGCTGTAAACAGATATACAATAGTGCTTAGTTAGGGTGTATTGCTGGACACTGCTGGCACTACTTCTGAATTATTGACACTTATACTTGGATGAAGAATGTACCTCGTAATGAAGACAACTGAGGCTTATATCACAGTGTTGTGTTTGTATGGAGCTGGAACTCCATCACCAATATATCAGTCAACATTGATTTCTGGACGTTTCCTAGCAATCTGGAATAATAGTGAAACAATTATTGTCACGGGACATCAATGCCCTAAGAATTAACTTTAAGAGAAGGCAGAATTTGTCTGTTAGTGACTGAGTGAGTTCGGTTTTACGCCGCTTTTTGCAATGTTCCAGCAATATCACGGCGGGGGACACCAGAAATGGGCTTCACACATTGTGCCCATGTGGGGAATCGAACCCGGGCCTTCGGATCACGTTTAGACAAGGAAACTATGCTATTTTATGTTAAAAACGTAAGTCTGTCCATCATTTTGACAGATAAGAACACAAAGTGGTTACCAAAGAGATTTTGTTGGCACTAAATGTATACAAATGTCTGTTTACCATTTCTGGTTTTGAAATTGTCTCTGAAGCTTTTAGGCCAATCAAGGGGTAGTGAGAGAGTCTAGTGGTTACAGCATTCCCTGATTACACTCAGTGGGGCCTATTCTGCTATGATATTGTTGGAATATTGCTAAAAAGGACATAAAACCAACTCAGTTACATCAAGTTCCTTGTTGTGAAATGTAATGCAACTTGTCCCTGGAATTATGGGACTTGGGGATCATGGAGCTGATGTCGGACATTTGATGGAATGATTCATCGATCTGAATTCAAATTAAAAAATTACCAGTGAAATTGCAAAAATATATTAAGTAACTGCCAAACATTACAACTATATTTTATAAAATTTCTTTTCTGAAGTACTCAGACCTTTGGTATATTTTAAGCTAGAATGAAAATAAGAATTACACTAAAAAGTTTGAAAACTTTAAATGAACTTAAAGTTCTAGAAGGAGATGCACTTCAGATGTGGACTGTAATGCTGGAGCTAAATTGTTATGAGAAAATTAACTTTTATGAGTGTCAAGATATCCTCCTTAGACCTGTAATAATGCCCTGAACGAGTCTGGAGTAATGTTGCCATGCATATCCAATACTCCGTGCAGTTAACTCCTAGGTTAGTACAACATGTACAGTGACTAATGGAGGTAGGGCCAGGCCGTAGAATGAGATACCTGACCTTGTCTGGGGATCTGTTCCCTGTTATTGGAGGGCTAGAGCTCATGAGGTCGGGGTATTGTCGAGACCAGTCCCAATAACGGACAGCATGGGGTGAAAGCAAAACAGCGTAAGGTATTTGATGCTTCTAAATTCAAATCAGGTAATCAGAACTAAATCAATTTTTGTCAGACAGTTCTATAGATTTTGGCTGCAGGTCTGTGCTTTGCTAATTCCGAGAGAAATTTTATCATTGACGTTGAATTAGATTTGAATTTATTTTGTTTTTGTGTTTTTCAGACAATGCTGGGGAGAAGGTGGAGAGAGCGGAGGAGAATCAGTTTCTGGACGAAATGCCGGAAAACTATCATTACCAACGGCGCCATAGCCGAGCGGTGCTGTATCACCTCTCCGGACAGTTCGAGAAACAGAACAAGGCCAAGACTAAACTGCAGCAGCTTAATAGGGTGGGCACCACGAAAATGGTACATTTCTATTTCAAGCTTAAATATTGCAATTCTTTCTAGAGCTTAGCCTGCCTGCACAAGTAAGTAACTTCTAGACTGGTCAACATCAAATACTTAGATTAGACTTTTATTAATTTGGAATTGAGAGGACTTGAAGTAAAAAGTACAATGAGTAGATTTCGGCAATCATTCAAATGTTCTAAATTCTGTGTTATATTCCTTTATGCAACCATTGGTATCAATGTATATTTGTTTGGGAGATCGTTCTTTTAGTCTTAAAACTCTTGTTACTAATACCTGATCCTATTTAAGACATGAACATTTTCTACAGGTAAAGTGGTATACCTGCTGCAAATGTTGCGTTGTATCCAACACAGCTAAGCGTTGACCAGTGTAGTACCGACACAACTGTTTGGTTAATTTAGTGACAGCATGCTTCACATAACATTCATTTCAAAGTAGGATTCACATGCTATGCAAAATCAAATAGTTCTGGTTTTTATAAGTTTATAAAAGCATCTGATTTCAATTATTAACTAGCAATAGAATTTTCATATACTTTTCCTATATGGCTGAAATATATTATTTCATATTTAGTCTTTATAGATCAGATTACTCACTGTAGACATTTTTTCAAAGTAGGATTTTTTTCATTGACAGTTTGAAGTATGAGCATGTGTGGTTATTGGGCTGGTGTGTGACCTCTGTGTGTGACCTCTGTGTGTGACCTTCGTGTGGGGCAATGTGAGCCTTACCTTCTGCTGCTCTCTCACGATGCATATACTAATACCTGAGCCTTAGCGCTGCCACAGCTATAACTACTGTACTGTAACACAGACTTCTGGCAGTCTTGGCGCTAACATCACAAAGGATGAGGTGCTGAAAGCTTCACATTTCCTGTTTCCTTCATTGAAGAAATCTGCATGTGTTTGGCTCTCCTAGGTCGAAGTCCAGTCTCAGCATGACGACTGTCACTACTAAAGTTTATAACAGACTAAGGTGATGTTTCGACATAGATTCTAATGTTGTTGTCAACCACTTGCATGACATCGACATTAGAATCTAAGTTGAAACGTCACCTATACAGAATAAAAAAGTTGTATATTGTTAAAAATTGTCCTCATTCTCCATGTTTAAGTAGTGCTCAATTAATGCTCATGTCTGTATATGAGCAGGATAATAAATCTTTGGATTGATGAATTACATGTGATCAAAACATACATTAGACCGGGATATTAAATCTTTGGATTGATGAATTACGTGTGTACAAAACATACATTAGACCAGGATATTAAATCTTTGGTTTGATGAATTACATGTGTTCAAAACATACATTAGACCAGGATATTAAATCTTTCCATTCATGAATTACGTGGGTACAAAACATACATTAGACCGGGATATTAAATCTTTGGTTTGATGAATTACGTGTGTACAAAACATACATTAGACCACAAGAATCTTGGAATTGTAAAGTGTAGTTCTCAGACAAATTCTGAAAATATTCTTGGTACTTGGCCCCACTGGTCAGGCAAATGTACTTACACAATGTGTGCACACAGGTATTTACATTAATAACTCCATCGCAGCAAACACATACTGAGTCAATTCCTATCAATAGATGTGTCAACAATACTGACTTCACAGGGTGCATACTTCATCATGAACATGAAGATCCGGGTTACAATCTTCAGCAACCCATGCTTGTCTCCCCCGTGAAGATCCAGGTCTTCAGTAACCCATGTTTGTCATAAGAGGCGACTAACGGGATCAGGTGGTCAGACTCGATGACTTGGTCATCGTATCCCAACTGCATAGATCGATTCACATGACGTTGATCACTGGATTGTCTGGTCCAGATTTGATTATTTACAGACCGGAGCCATATTGCTGGAATATTGCTGAGTGCGGCATTAAACAACAGACAAACAAAATCATCATGAACACACACAAAACTGTAGATTCCAGTCTGGAATCAGTGATGGTCACAGTAGTTAATACAAAAATAGCTCCACCCATTCTGTTATCAGCAGATCAAGAAACAATAGTCTATTAATTTATTTTCGGTTTGAATTTATGGAGTCAGTAACCCAAAAGTTATTGCTGGTGTAACCAATTAAATGCCATGGAATCACTATATTCTCTCAGAAATAGTTATACAGAAATAGAAAATGTTGCCTTTATTATGTGTTTGAGTATAATATTTATGTTGTAGCATGTCATCTGTTGAATTGTGATGACCCAAATGTTGTAAATGTTGACACTAAAAGTTGGAATGTGTGATATTGCAGCTACATTCCATATCAGGCAAAATGCCTGAATACAAAGTACAGGAAGCCAAAAAGTCCCGCTATATCATAGTGCATTATGGGATATTCAAAATCGGCTGGGATTGGTTGATTCTGCTGTGCACATTCTACATCGCCATCATGGTGCCATTCAACGCCACCTTTCAGGGAAAGAGGCGAGCAAGACATTCCATGTACTCCGATGTTGTCGTAGAAATTCTCTTCATCATAGGTAAGTTCTTCATGAAGTGTCATTGTATTACCTGCTGCCTAGGGGCTGCAACAGTGGGTTAACTCATCTGGGTTAGCTTAGGTCCTCAAGACCTCATGCAAGGTGTAGAGGGGTGAATGTTGGATGATTGGTGATCTGGGTTAGATTAGGTCCACAAGACCTCATGCAATGTGTAGAGGGGTGAGTGTCGGATGATTGGTGATCTGGGTTAGATTAGGTCCTCAAGACCTCATGCAAGGTGTAGTGAGGTCGGATGATGTTGATCATGATTAGGTCCACAAGACCTGAATGTGTTTCATGATTGGTGATCTGGGATTAGAGATTAGGTCCCCAAGACCTCATGCAAGGTGTAGAGGGGTGAGTGTCGGATGATTGGTGATCTGGGTTAGATTAGGTCCTCAAGACCTCATGCAAGGTGTAGTGACATGAGTGTTTCATGATTACACAATGAGTGTTTCATGATTGGTGATCTGGGTTAGATTAGGTCCCCAAGACCTCATGCAAGGTGTAGAGGGGTGAGTGTTGGATGATTGGTGATCTGGGTTAGATTAGGTCCTCAAGACCTCATGCAAGGTGTAGAGGGGTGAGTGTTGGATGATTGGTGATCTGGGTTAGATTAGGTCCTCAAGACCTCATGAAAGGTGTAGTGACATGAGTGTTTCATGATTACACAATGAGTGTTTCATGATTGGTGATCTGGGTTAGATTAGGTCCCCAAGACCTCATGCAAGGTGTAGAGGGGTGACTGTTGGATGATTGGTGATCTGGGTTAGATTAGGTCCTCAAGACCTCATGCAAGGTGTAGTGACATGAGTGTTTCATGATTACACAATGAGTGTTTCATGATTGGTGATCTGGGTTAGATTAGGTCCCCAGGACCTCATGCAAGGTGTAGAGGGGTGACTGTTGGATGATTGGTGATCTGGGTTAGATTAGGTCCTCAAGACCTCATGCAAGGTGTAGTGACATGAGTGTTTCATGATTGGGTTACACAATGAGTGTTTCATGATTGGTGATCTGGGTTAGATTAGGTCCCCAGGACCTCATGCAAGGTGTAGAGGGGTGACTGTTGGATGATTGGTGATCTGGGTTAGATTAGGTCCTCAAGACCTCATGCAAGGTGTAGAGACATGAGTGTTTCATGATTATTACACAATGAGTGTTTCATGATTGGTGATCTGGGTTAGATTAGGTCCTCAAGACCTCATGCAAGGTGTAGAGGGGTGAGTGTTGGATGATTGGTGATCTGGGTTAGATTAGGTCCTCAAGACCTCATGCAAGGTGTAGTGACATGAGTGTTTCATGATTACACAATGAGTGTTTCATGATTGGTGATCTGGGTTAGATTAGGTCCCCAGGACCTCATGCAAGGTGTAGAGGGGTGACTGTTGGATGATTGGTGATCTGGGTTAGATTAGGTCCTCAAGACCTCATGCAAGGTGTAGTGACATGAGTGTTTCATGATTACACAATGAGTGTTTCATGATTGGTGATCTGGGTTAGATTAGGTCCTCAAGACCTCATGCAAGGTGTAGAGGGGTGAATGTTGGATGATTGGTGATCTGGGTTAGACAAGGTCCTCATGACCTCATGCAAGGTGTAGAGGGGTGAGTGTGATTGGTGATCTGATTACACAAGACCCCATGCAAGGTGTTTCATGATTGGTGATCTGATCTGGTTAGATTAGGTCCCCAGGACCTCATGCAAGGTGTAGAGGGGTGAGTGTTGGATGATTGGTGATCTGGGTTAGATTAGGGTCCTCAAGACCTCATGCAAGGTGTAGTGACATGAGTGTTTCATGATTACACAATGTAGTGTTTCATGATTGGTGATCTGGGTTAGATTAGGTCCTCAAGACCTCATGCAAGGTGTAGAGGGGTGAATGTTGGATGATTGGTGATCTGGGTTAGACAAGGTCCTCATGACCTCATGCAAGGTGTAGAGGGGTGAGTGTTGCATGAATTTTGTATTGGTTTAGATAAGGTCTGCAGGACCTTTTGCAAGGTGTCGTGAGTATCATATATAAGAGATGAGGTGAATGTTGCTCAATATGAGTATCATTATATAAGATTAGGATGAGAGTGAATGTTGCTCAATATGCTCATGCTTGTGTAACTGCTGTTATTGTCAAGATTAGGACTCAGAGCCTAAGAGTACTTTGATGAATGTTGCTTTCAACCAGTAGGAAGATGCAGTTTATTCAACACTCAATCATATAGAAGCAAATGTTGTAATGACTACACAGCATTGATGTCTTGAGTTCATCACAGATTTTCAAAATACGACATGTGGGAACAAGATTTATCACTTAATGTTCATGGAGTGATTTATCACTTAATTGATATACAAGTAAAAGATATCTCTTGCTGTATATTTTCAGACATAGTATTAAACTTCCGCACATCGTACGTGAACAAGAGCGGACAGGTTGTATATGAATCTCGCATGATTGCCATGAACTACATCAAGGGCTGGTTTCTCCTGGATCTGCTGGCAGCCATTCCCTTTGACCTCCTGTATGCTGTACAGATCAACACAGTAAGTCCTCCTCTATGCCACCTTTCCCTTTGACCTCCTGTATGCTGTACAGATCAACACAGTAAGTCGTCCTCTCTGCCATCTTTCCCTTTAATTCCCTGTATGCTGTACAAATCAACACACTAAATCCTCCTGTCTTTCCCGAGATGTCTGTCTCAATGTGTTTGTCATGTTTTCCTGCTTCTGGTACTAGCACATACAGCTTCTGCTATAGCATTGTCAGTCACACACCTGTCAGTACGGTAGGGTCCAAGGAGGACCATGGGAAGGTATAGAGAAACCTTCAATGGGGCAGTCACACTCCTGTCAGTAAGGTAGGGGCCAAGGAAGACCATGGGAAGGTAAAGAGAAACCTTCAATGGTTCAGTCACAGTCCTGTCAGTTAGGTAGGGGCCAAGGAGGGCCATGGGAAGGTATAGAGAAACCTCCAATGGGTCAGTCACAGTCCTGTCAGTTAGGTAGGGGCCAAGGAGGACCTTGGGAAGGTATAGAGAAACCTTCAATTGGTCAGTCACACTCCTGTCAGTAAGGTAGGGGCCAAGGAGGACCCTGGGAAAGGTATATAGAAACCTTCAATGGTTCAGTCACACTCCTGTCAGTAAGGTAGGGGCCAAGGAGGACCATGGGAAGGTACAAGAAACCTTCAATTGGTCAGTCAGGTCCACAAGGAGTCAGTCACTGATACAAGATATTTTAAATATTGCAAGCTGCCAGCAAGGATTCTGAATACAGTTGGCCAACATGTTGGTAAAGGTACCACCATCAGTTGGGAAGAGCATAAAATTTCTAATCCTACACAAATACACTGTCATGAACAAAGTTTCTTCTTTGATAAATGACCTAGAGACTGCGACCTTAGCGCTGTGACTATAAAAATGTCTATGTTATGGATCAGAATGACCAACACCTTAGCTCTAAGATCATTTTGTAGAAAGACTCCCTGGTCTCTATGTCTGGTATGTTCCATAGAGAGAAATGTTAGATCTGTGTTGGGTCATGTTTTATAATTATGGGCATCAGAAGCGGCAGTGTGTATGGAGGAAGGATGCAGAGATGAACTGTGTAAGGAGATTAGTTGTTCCTTGCGACAGCCTCAGACTGATTGTGTACATGTCAGTTATCTAAATGCCTAATACCTTCCATGTTGGTTGGTCTGATGCTGGAGCTCAGACCCTTTGAACTGCAGAACGCTACGGTCTATAGAACTGCAACACCTGCTGCTTGGGATGCTTGTAATACAATCTGTGACAGAACTAAGTTCCATATGAACATCATATCAAATAAGAAGCAGTTAAATACTCTAAGTATCATAAAGGATAATTTCCCAGTGTGATGTATCAGATAGCAATTGATGTGCAGTCAAGTCTATCACATTTACGAATGCTGATTAGTCATTTTAGGAGGATTTGTTTCAAACACTAGCTTTTGTAATAGGGCCTCTCTGTTTTCCAGTGTACTCTATTTCATATCTATTATGATAAAACCCAGCAGCCAACCACCAGCAAAACCTTTAGTGGAAATGACATCACCAGTTCCCTGCAAGCAAACAATTGCTACAATTAACTGAGTCCGAAGCCTGCTACACCAGCAGACAATGGTAACATGGCCAGTTACAGACAGGAAGGACAGTTTAATGTATTCTGTTTTCACCTTCCTTGATTCAAAACAAAGCTGTGTTAGCTCCAGGGTATTCTTCAAAATAGAATATAAATATATTACATTGGATAAACGAAGATGGTATTATGGACTTGCTGTCCTGACACTGTCCTGACACTATATCGCCTCCTCCGGATCGGCAAATACAACCTTACAAGGGACTGATAAAATCCCGTATTTCCCGAGACACGATGTGATAACGCATTTATCTAGCCAAATGTTTTTTACTAAATCAAAAGAAAACAATACACATCGAATCGACTTGTTTTTATTTATGTGAGATTACGGGTCACGGTCACGAGTCAAAGTTCAATCGAAGGGAGTGTTCAGTTTTTTAAAACCCTTCATTTTTTATACACAATGTTAACATTTTGAATGTTGCAATTTGAAAATATTGCCGGTTGAGTCGTTGATGCCATGTTGACAACAGCTGAACGATTGACCTCAATGCAGCGCACGTTACTAAAGGTTTGGCGAGGCACGCTTTCTCACTTCGCGTGGTCACCGAGGCGTGGCAGTATATATGACTTTTGTACTCCCTGATCGCGGATCGTACGGGTGTACATGGTATTTTATCAGAGTCACATGAACCAATCAAAACTCGACATTCTTACATGAGGCTGGATAAATGTGTTCCTCAAAGTGGTCACAATCTTGTCTCCGAGTTACTGATGTACATCAAAGATGGTCTCCAGGTCTCTGACTACACTCCCTTTAAAAGCCTATAATATTCAGAGGATTTCAGCTTGGTTATGTCTGGAGTGCAGTTAAATAAAAATAATCTGCTGTTTGTATTCTGATGTAAATATTTGCCAAGAAAACACTAGCAGTTGAGTAAACATGTCCTGGGTAATGCTGCACAGGATATGGAGGAATTCTTGTCATCTCTCCGTCTCAGGCGTGGGAGGGATTCTGAACCAAGATGGGGATTCTGGAAAGTGTCTGGATAGTTCTGCAAGATTACACTGCAGAATTGGTCCCAAAATCCTCATGTTTGTCTTCATGTAGATTTCAATGGAGATATAGGTCCCAAATACCTTGTGTTTGTCTTCAAGTACATTCCAGGGCTGGAAGAGTCAGAAATACCCTTGATCTGAACTTGATTTGACTATTGCACTTTGACCATACTTAAAGCCCATGACCATTTTTTTTACAAAATCAATAAAATGGTGTACATTTTTAGTTTGTAGTGGAATCAAATATGTGTTCCATGGGGTATCTGACCTTCTGACCTTGACCATACCTCTTAATTTTCTCAAAATGCCTATTTGGGTCATTAAACACCTCCCCTAGCATTGGCAGGCTGAAACAGCTAAACTTGTATGTTTCTCAAGTTTCATATTTGGTTATATCAGATGTTAATCTTAATATTTAGTTACCAGCATACAGAAAACATTTGAATATCATTAACTTTTGTTCAGTGTCCGTCTTACGTTTCATTTTAAACTGTTCTCTACATATCCAGGAAAATGTGTGTCACTGAGCTATTTTATGTTGACGTGTCACACCTTGTGGAGCTTTGGTTAGAATCTACATGCCAAAGTTACATACCATGAACATACTTCATGTAGTACATTACTTTCACATGTTGTTGTATATCATGTTATTCCGACCTTCCATATCTCCTGGGTTCTGCATGCGGTGCCTATTGGATCATTGGGTTCTGTGCGGTGCCTATTGGATCATTGGGTTCTATTTGGATCATCATTGGGTTCTGTATTTGTATGTTATTCCTATTGGATCATCCTGGGTTCTGCATGCAGCGCCTATTGGATCATTGTATTATCACCTTACTGTTGTTGTATATCATGTTATTCCAACCCTCCATATCTCCTGGGTTCTGCATGCGGCCTATTGGATCATTGTATTATCACCTTACTGTTGTTGTATATCATGTTATTCCAACCCTCCGTATCTCCTGGGTTCTGCATGCAGTGCCTATTGGATCATTGTATTATCACCTTACTGTTGTTGTATATCATGTTATTCCAACCCTCCATATCTCCTGGGTTCTGCATGCGGTGCCTATTGGTATCATTGTATATCATGTTATTCCTAGGTTGCATGCGGTGCCTATTGGATCATTGTATTATCACCTTACTGTTGTTGTATATCATGTTATTCCAACCCTCCATATCTCCTGGGTTCTGCATGCGGTGCCTATTGGATCATTGGGTTCTGCATGCTGCAGTGCCTATTGGATCATTACTGTTGTTCTGCATGCATGTGCCTATTGGATCATTGTATTATCACCTTACTGTCTGCATGTTATTCCAACCTCCCATATCTCCTGGGTTCTGCATGCGGTGTTGTATTATCCCTTTGTTGTTGTATATCATTGGGTTCTGCATGCAGTGCCTATTGGATCATTGGGTTCTGCATGCAGCACCTATTGGATCATTGTATTATCACCTTACTGTTGTTGTGTATCATGTTATTCCAACCCTCCATATCTCCTGGGTTCTGCATGCGCATGCCTATTGGATCATTGTATTATCACCTTACTGTTGTTGTATATCATGTTATTCCAACCTCTCCATTATCTCCTGGGTTCTGCATGCGATTTCCTATTGGATCATTGTATTATCACCTTACTGTTGTTGTATATCATGTTATTCCAACCCTCCGTATCTCCTGGGTTCTGCATGCCGCCTATTGGATCATTGTATTATCACCTTACTGTTGTTGTATATCATGTTATTCCAACCCTCCGTATCTCCTGGGTTCTGCATGCGCCCTATTGGATCATTGTATTATCACCTTACTGTTGTTGTATATCATGTTATTCCAACCCTCCATATCTCCTGGGTTCTGCATGCAGCGCCTATTGGATCATTGTATTATCACCTTACTGTTGTTGTATATCATGTTATTCCAACCCTCCGTATCTCCTAGGTTCTGCATGCGGTGCCTATTGGATCATTGTATTATCACCTTACTGTTGTTGTATATCATGTTATTCCAACCCTCCGTATCTCCTAGGTTCTGCATGCGGCGCCTATTGGATCATTGTATTATCACCTTACTGTTGTTGTATATCATGTTATTCCAACCTCCGTGATCTCCTGGGTTCTGCGGTGCCTATTGGATCATTGTATTATCACCTTACTGTTGTTGTATTGTTGTATTTCATGTTATTCCAACCCTCCGTTATCTCCTGGGTTCTGCATGAAATTTGCCTATTGGATCATTGTATTATCACCTTACTGTTGTTGTATATCATGTTATTCCAACCCTCCGTATCTCCTAGGTTCTGCATGCGGCGCCTATTGGATCATTGTATTATCACCTTACTGTTGTTGTATATCATGTTATTCCAACCCTCCGTATCTCCTAGGTTCTGCATGCGGCGCCTATTGGATCATTGTATTATCACCTTACTGTTGTTGTATATCATGTTATTCCAACCCTCCGTATCTCCTAGGTTCTGCATGCGGCGCCTATTGGATCATTGTATTATCACCTTACTACTGTTGTTGTATATCATGTTATTCCAACCCTCCGTATCTCCTAGGTTCTGCATGCGGTGCCTATTGGATCATTGTATTATCACCTTACTGTTGTTGAATATTTTTTCAAGGTTTATATTTTCAACACTGAAATTACAGAATGCTGGATATCATGTCGTGAGTGAATTTTAGACTTTCACTGGTGATGGAAATATTTCAAAACTGTTTTTTACACCAATCTTGGAATGTACATATAAATACATTATACATATTATCATCCTTTTGCCTGGATTCAAGGAGGGAATGATGTCCTGAGAATATGCATGCCATTCTATCCACTTTTCTATTCTTGTGGTTTGAAAACTGAATGCATTAGCCCCTCAACAATGTGCTTGTTCAGCATACGCTGGCTGCTAGTATTTGCTGAAGAATCTCATCAAGATGACAATCGATCATCTAATTAACTCTCAAACCTGGATTTAAGTGTCTAAACCTGTTGGGATACGCTACCACCTTTCAGAGATCAATATTTCATGGACATAAGAAAATTGTACGTCTGAAGAAAAAAGTGAATTCATTTTGGATGATTGATACAATTAAAGCTGGTGTTAGAGTGTGAGAGACGACTGCTGAAGCGCTCATTCTGATGGGCTGTGTTGGTCAAATTGTACTCTGAGACATGCAATATATTTTGTTCTGTTTCAACATTTTCAGATTGAAATCCATTTCACAAATTAATTGCACCAGTTTCCCATTCCACCAACGCTATCCCAAAACTATTATCATATTTGGTTTGTTTGATCTGGTCATGTGTTGGCACTTCCATGAATTCGCTCTGACATTTGTTTCTACTAAACGTGATTATTACGCGGGCAAACACAGTTAGGCCAGATAAATTCAATTACTTGCTTCACAGATTGTTTCTCACAAAAATATTTGTCTTTTCTTCCTAAAGAAATATGACTCAGTAACTATATTTATTACTGCATTGTACTGCTTCTACTACTTGGTTGTGTCTAATTGTATAATATACATCCATCATAGGTCACTATACTACTCAACACAAATTGTATAATATACATCCACCATAGGTCACTATACTACTCAACACAAAATGTATAATATACATCCACCATAGGTCACTATACTACTCAACACAAAATGTATAATATACATCCACCATAGGCCACTATACTACTCAACACAAAATGTATAATATACATCCACCATAGGCCACTATACTACTCAACACAAAATGTATAATATACATCCACCATAGGTCACTATACTACTCAACACAAATTGTATAATATACATCCACCATAGGTCACTATACTACTCAACACAAAATGTATAATATACATCCACCATAGGTCACTATACTACTCAACACAAATTGTATAATATACATCCACCATAGGTCACTATACTACTCAACACAAAATTGTATAATATACATCCACCATAGGTCACTATACTACTCAACACAAATTGTATAATATACATCCACCATAGGTCACTATACTACTCAACACAAATTGTATAATATACATCCACCATAGGTCACTATACTACTCAACACAAATTGTATAATATACATCCACCATAGGTCACTATACTACTCAACACAAATTGTATAATATACATCCATCATAGGTCACTATACTACTCAACACAAATTGTATAATATACATCCACCATAGGTCACTATACTACTCAACACAAAATGTATGATATACATCCACCATAGGTCACTATACTACTCAACACAAATTGTATAATATACATCCACCAGAGGTCACTATACTACTCAACACAAATTGTATAATATACATCCACCATAGGTCCACTATACTACTCAACACAAATTGTATAATATACATCCACCATAGGTCACTATACTACTCAACACAAATTGTATAATATACATCCACCATAGGTCACTATACTACTCAACACAAATTGTATAATATACATCCACCATAGGTCACTATACTACTCAACACAAATTGTATAATATACATCCACCATAGGTCACTATACTACTCAACACAAATTGTATAATATACATCCACCATAGGTCACTATACTACTACCAACACAAATTGTATAATATACATCCACCATAGGTCACTATACTACTCAACACAAATTGTATATTATACATCCTCCATAGGTCACTATACTACTCAACACAAATTGTATAATATACATCCACCATAGGCCACTATACTACTCAACACAAATTGTATAATATACATCCACCATAGGCCACTATACTACTCAACACAAATTGTATAATATACATCCACCATAGGCCACTATACTACTCAACACAAATTGTATAATATACATCCACCATAGGCCACTATACTACTCAACACAAATTGTATAATATACATCCACCATAGGTCACTATACTACTCAACACAAATTGTATAATATACATCCACCATAGGTCACTATACTACTCAACACAAATTGTATAATATACATCCACCATAGGTCACTATACTACTCAACACAAATTGGCTGTCTTAGTATCCTGGTTGCCGATATTGAACCTTTCATTCTCCATCATCCATCATTTTCTGTTAACATTAAGCAACTGAGCTTTCACCAAAATGCTGTTAAATTTGAAACCTTTAATTCATCCTAAATATAATTTAGTGCCAACACTTACCAATCCCTCCATCATGTCCATAGAGCAAGATAATACCTTACAAGGTTGTACTGTTCAAAGGCAGAACAGGCTAGCCTAGTGGTTAAGGTGCTTGCTTATTATGCCAAAGGACAGGGTTCAATTCCCCACAAACAATGCATGCAGACCATTTCAGGTGTCCCAAACCAGACATTGCTGGAATCTTGTCAGAGTTCTGTAAAACAACACTCACTCACTCACACCTGTTGGGTGTGGAGATGACTGCTCGCTTACTCACTTATTCACTCACTTATTCACTCACTCACTCACCCATATACTCATTCTCTCACTCAGCCACATCCATTATGAAACCTTGAAGTGAATTATTAATATCACAAATTCATTTTTTTAACATTTTATCTAACAGATGTTTTGTGATATAAGAATGGATGCCATTAATTCATTTTTTTCAAAATTCTCATTTTCTGAGAACTAAAAATACATTGATTTGTTTAAATGTCAAAATTTAATTGATGACAACAAAAGAATTCTTGATCTCTTAAGACAGGGAATAAATAGTAAAACAGCACCACATGATTCTAACCATAACTTAGAGTGTTTAATAATCGTTTGTTTAAATGAGGTACTAACTAAAGTTTTATGTTTGTTCAGACTGTGAATGTGCACCACAAACCACGACTACAGCTCACAATGTAACTTGAGATTCCACAATAGTAAACCACCACCCATTTCATTTATATGCTAATGACAAGTAATAGTCTGTCAAGCATATCTGTTGGATATTTAAATATCTGCACAAAATATCTGCATGTTTTAATGAATGTATTTTTGGGGTCAAATATATTGATTGCAGGTATATTTTCACATTTAGTTTTACTATGATACCCAGAAAAAAGGGCTCTGCTTGAGACAGGGTCATAGTCATGCAGCACAATATGGCAGGAATATTGGTACACGTATCATGACAACCTTCTCACTGACCACCGGTTCATTCTCTGGAGTCTGTGTGAAGTCTTCAGCCATTCAGAGTGTGATACTGGAACTTTGATATTGGTAACTTTGGGTTGTTTCCAAAACCAAGGGCTTTAGGAAGAAGAAGTGCTAGATCAATTGTATAGCTCCATTTAATGAGGTGGCCCAAGGGTTTCACAAACGTGGTAGATGTCTGAAACCTGGATCTTTGCGGAATTTCCTTCCACATCAAGCTGACATGCTGTTACTTAACTGGAATACAATTCAAAGCAGCATTGACTGACTGACTGAGTTTGGTTTTACGCCGCTTTTAGCAATATTCCAGCAAAATCACGGCGGGGGACACCAGAAATGGGCTTCACTCATTGTACCCATGTGGGGATTCGAACCCGGGTCTTCGGCATGACGAGCCAACGCTTTAACCACTAGACTACCCCACCGCCCCTCAAAGCAGCATTGAACTCACTCAACATTTTGTGTTCTGGTTTGAGACACCAGAAAATTGCAATATGATCACTGAGATGTCCCCTGAAAAACATTTATCAGATCAACAAACACATATGTTTACAAATTTTTAAATAGCTGCCAACAAACACGTTGAAAAAATAGGGATGATGTAAACTGTAAATTTTAATTGTATACACACTAAATAAATATGAAATCCACAAGTTGTATAAAATGGTGTCCCAGAAAATTGTGTCCTTTATAAGTAACAGTGTGGCCTGTAAATGATACTGAACTGTGGTTGGTAGCTGCCTGTCATAAATACTGAGACAGTAATTAACAAATAACACCAAGAGTTGTAGTTAATCATCTTGTGTCAAAAGGAAGCTGATACTGTCTCAAATAAGAAAAAGTATTGACAAGACTGGGTATTGAAACAGTGTAGAAACGTAAGTTTGCTAATGTATGCATGTTTGATGTCAAGTTCGTTACTTAGAAAATGCCAGGTGAAACCAATTTTCAAATGTTCACCTCTCAGTATCCTCTGTTATATTAGTCAGTGTAGTGAGTGTAAATTTTAATGACAAAGTTCCATTTTCCATAAGTACCCACTGGACTCCAGAATGAATATTTCCAGGCATTGATGTTTCAGAATCTGTTGTATCATTCAAATGTTTTTACCAAATATTTCACAAAATCAGCTTGATTTAAATATCAGACAAAAATAAACATATTTCATTTATTATTCACTCTCCAGTGATCCCATGGCTGAAAAGAACTGCTGTAAAACAATCGAAATATACATATTTCCTGTCAAGGTGGACCTGTGAAGGTCCAGGTTAGAATATTGATCTTCAGTAACCAATGCTTGTTGTAAGAGGCAAGTAACAGGCTCGCTGACTTGGGCGACACAATTCATCGGTTCCCAATTCCGCAGATTGATGCTCATGCTGTTCACTGGATTGTCTGGTCCAGACTCGATTATTTACAGACCACCGCCATATAGCTGGAATATTGCTGAGTGCGGCGTACAACTAAACTCACTCACTCCTGTCAAGGTGAGCTTCAGTACCCCATGTCAACCGAGTGTAGTGTAGCTTCTAACACTGTGTTTCAACAGGGCACCCTCATCCATCTGCTGAAAGTGGCGAGACTGCTGCGGCTGGCCAGGTTGTTACAGAAGCTGGATCGCTACTCCCAGTACAGCGTCCTCGTCCTCACGCTACTCATGTCCATGTTCGCGCTGGCTGCTCATTGGATGGCCTGCATCTGGTTTGCCATCGGCAAGAATGAAATTGAAGATAATCCAATGAACCGGACTGTTGGTAAGACAGACCTCTTTCTGTGAGTGCATCTGTGAGAGGGATCATGATGTGGATGTATAAAAAAACAAAAAACATTCTTGTTATTGAGGACCTCCGTTTCTTAGAGTGATGAAAGTTTTGTATGTGTCACAATGACAGATAGTTTCATCTTGTAAGTGCAGTACAGCAACCTTTTTGAAATTTAATTATTCAACCAGACCAATTTTACTGCAATTTTTAGTGAGGCAAAAATAAATATGGAAATTGTTAGACTCTAGTTGTGATTAATGCATTAAAGTCCTCTTGAAAAATGGAGACCGCCTTCCGCACCCAAACCAATCATACAGGATGCTTTATCAGACCATCTTGCTTTGTAAACTGAGTGAGTGAGTTAGTTGGGATCAGTGCCACATTGTACAGTATTCAGATATATCAAGTCAGCTCGATGTGAGAGGTTTGTTGTTTTAACACATCGCTCAGCAATATTCCAGCTACATGACAACATGCTAAAAAGTCTGGACCAAACAATCCAGTGATTGACATCATGAGCATTGTTCTATGCAACTGGGCGGGAGGAAACCCCATAGTAATGGAGGACTTAGAAGTTTAGAGCTTTGACGAAACCTACTGCCAACAATGCTGACAAACTAAGTATGATAATCATAGAATTCTGGCACATCTAAGGGATGTAACTCTGTATCTGCTTGATAGGGTGGCTGTATGAACTAGGGCACCGCATTGAGAACCCGATTGTGAATCACACCATTGAAGAGCTTGATACCATGACATCGTATGTGACGGCACTCTACTTCACCTGCAGCAGCCTCACCAGTGTGGGTTTTGGCAATGTTTCTGCCAACACAAACATTGAGAAAATATTCTCAGTGTGTGCTATGCTTGCTGGAGGTAAGACTCCTACATGTATCCAACTCAGGGGCTGGTGGGATTTCAGAAATATTTTCCTTTTAACCAAGATCAGCTGCTGAGCATGACACTAACATGACAAATCTCTGATAAAAATATAAAAGCTATAAAGGAAAATTAATAAGCCATGACTTGCATTGAAGATAATTATTAACAACTTGACAAATGTTTATCACACCCTAATATTCAGGAGAAAATAACACTTGCCATCAGGTAACTTTCTTGTTATAGTCTTAAATTGTTCGTTCCTAGAACTGGATGAATCTTCAAAGGTACTTTATTGATTGACGTCTATACATTCCAAAAGAGAACATACCGGGGTAATTACTGTTCCAGCCATGATGCATGCTGTCATCTTCGGTAATGTCACTGCAATAATCCAGAGAATGTATGCCCGGCGCCAAAACTTTCACTCCAGAACAAAGGACCTCAAAGATTTTTTCCGTACCCACCACATCCCCAAAACTCTGAAACAGCGAATGCAAGAATACTTCCAAACCATGTGGTCCATGAACAATGGCATTGACCTTCATGAGGTAGGTTGTGAGGCCAAGGTCGGTGTAGGCTTTGGCAATATTATTGAGAACAGCTGCCCCAAACTATTTGCTGAATCTGTGCCTTCTTTTCCTCCTTGTTCTTTATGTGAAATGGGGATAAATGATGCACTGTAGATTATGTCAAAATGACAATACTATTGTTTTGCAATAGTAGGACAGCTTTGTGTTTAAACAGCTCACTGATCATCCTAGACTCCTACATGTCACGATCAAGGGGATATTGTTGGACTATTGTCAATACTAGCATAAAATGTTGCTCGCTCATCTTCTGAAGGGAAGGTTTGACTTAACTAACAACATCTAGGCCTCTTTCCTCAATCAATGGAATTGCTACAGTCAATATGTCCATGTTGTCTTTCAACAGTCATTGATGCTTTCTGGATTGGTTGAGCTGAACAATACTTTAATAGATGAAACTTTATGTTTGTTGTCAGATTTTGAAAGACTTCCCTGAGGAGATGCGTGGTGAGATCGGACTTCACCTGAACCGTGAGATTCTCTCCCTTCCCATCTTTGAGAGTGCCACCCAGGGCTGCCTGAAGTCGATCACCCTGCAGACACGCCGAATCTTCTGTGCCCCAGGGGAATTTCTCCTCCACAAGGGCGACGCTGTCAACTACATCTACTACCTCTGCAGCGGTTCCATGGAAGTCCTCAAGGATGAGATGGTCGTGGCTATCCTCGGTGGGACTTCATAGCTTACCTCAATCAGTTTCTGTCATCAACTTGAAAATGATTTCTGGAATCACAAACCTGTGAAGATGAATTTGTTTTGGATATCAACAAAATATTAATTCATGCTGACGTTCATGTGTACTATTCTGACAACTAGGTAAATACATCAGTTGATCTAACCAATCTTAAGATGCTCATGTTACTCTTTATGAGGGGGGCGGGTGGGGTAGCCTAGTGGTTAAGCATTCGCTCATCACACCGAAGACTTGGGTTCGATTCCCCATATGGGTACAATGTGTGAAGCCCATTTCTGGTGTCCCCTGCCGTGATATTGCTGGAATATTACTAAAAGCTGCGTAAAATCATACTCACTCACTCACTACTCTTTATGAAGCTCATAAATAATGTTTCATAATTCAAACAAATCATGTTCCAGGAAAAGGCGACCTGTTCGGTACTGACATTGCATTCGAGGAACCAATCAGCATCTCAGCCTGTGACGTGCGATCACTGGCGTACTGTGAACTTCTATGCATCAACCTTAAGGGTCTGCTGGATGCACTTGCCCTATATCCAGAATTCTCTGAAAAATTTGCTCAAGAAATTCAACATGACCTCACATACAACTTAAGAGAAGGTCATGATGACTCATCCTCTATAGTCACAACGGTAGTTGTCTCCCTTCTTTGTACCACTATTTGAACAGAGTAACTCTTGTATGTGAATTGTAAAATGTCATCTTTGGGGATACTAGACATGAATACGACCCCTCTTTATTTGCTAGACATTAGATGAACTGGCTGTTGACAAGTTCAGCTATTATGCCAGATGGTACCTTTCGTGTCATGTCCCAGGAGTGCCGTAGCCTAGTAGTTAATATGTTCCAAAGACCCTGGTTTGATTCTTTTCATGGGTACAATGTGCAAAGTCCATTTGGATGTCTACCACCATGATATAGCTCGAATATTGTTAAAACCAGCATAAAAGTATACTCATTCACCCATCTTCCATCTGTCTGTACTAATATGTCATTTGGAGGATATCTTGGCAGTTCATGCAAGCATCAATGTTTAATTTATATATTGTAAATATGTGCTGCCTGAAGTATTGTCTTATTAGACCAAATAAATCAAGGGCCATGAGACTTGTGGGTGTTTAATTAGTAATATATGTGATGGGTGCTCACACTATCACCCCATGGTATATCTACCCCAGACATGATTAGCTTGCAGGCCGCTGTATGTCTGTTCACACACCATCAGGTGAGAATGTCATCCTTTCAAGGAGTAGCACCAGTGTTGCATGTGACCCTCCATTGTTTGTGTCTGTAGGAGGATGAGGAGGAGGAGGAGGAGAGCCCCATCGCCCCTGTCATCACGCTGCCCTCCATCTCAGAGGATGAAGAGGAAAACACAGATGACGACGATGATGATGGCAAGGCTGGGGGCATCATCAACAAGCTTCAGTTCGCTGACGAAGACACTGACCAATCAGACACACGAGATCATTCGTCGTCATCCCCGCTACTCAACCAGTCTGACAGCAGCTTACATACAATTGTCCCAAATGGAGATTTGCAGGGATTATCGAGGTTTGTCCCCAGATACAGTCTGTCATTATTCCCCTTCAATATACAGACACCCACTGTCAGTTTAGTCAATGTTTCCTTCAGCAATACCCATAAACTGTTCATGTCCAGTATTAATCACAACAGTATTAATGTGTCCAGTAGCAATTCCCTCACAGTATTTATGTGTCTAGTAGCAATTCCCTCACAGAATTAATTTGTCCAGTAGCAATTCCCTCACAGTATTAATGTGTCCAGTAGCAATTCCCTCACAGTATTAATGTGTCCAGTAGCAATTCCCTCACAGTATTAATGTGTCCAGTAGCAATTCCCTCACAGTATTAATGTGTCCAGTAGCAATTCCCTCAAAGTATTGATGTGTCCATTAGCAATTCCCTCACAGTATTAATATGTCCATTAGCAATTCCCTCACAGTATTATTGTGTCTAGTAGCAATTCCCTCACAGTATTAATGTTCCCAGTAGCAATTCCCTCACAGTATTAATGTGTTCAGTAGCATTTCACTCACAGTATTAATGTGTCCAGTAGCAATTCCCTCACAGTATTAATGTGTCCATTAGCAATTCCCTCACAGTATAAATGTGTGCAGTAGCAATTCCCTCACAGTATTAATTTGTCCAGTAGCAATTCCCTCACAGTATTAATGTGTCCATTAGCAATTCCCTCACAGTATTAATTTGTCCAGTAGCAATTCCCTCACAGTATTAATGTGTCCATTAGCAATTCCCTCACAGTATAAATGTGTGCAGTAGCAATTCCCTCACAGTATTAATGTGCCCAGTAGCAATTCCCTCACAGTATTAATGTGTCCAGTAGCAATTCCCTCACAGTATTAATTTGTCCAGTAGCAATTCCCTCACAGTATTAATTTGTCCAGTAGCAATTCCCTCACAGTATTAATGTGTCCAGTAGCAATTCCTTAACCCTGTGTTGTCTCCGCTTGTGACAGCTCTCATCTCGCCGGACAGAGTAGACTCCCGCGGTGGTTTGCCACCCAACCCCGCCCACATCAAAGGTACGGTCAGACCTAATGTGAATATTTATTTGAAGCTCTTGACTGTTTTGAAAAAACAACTGGCTATACAGGGTGGATTTCATATTTTTCATATTTCTTAGTACAAATGTAAATGGTTCCCAGATGTCGTGAGTAGACTGTCACCACAACCAGTGTGGGTTGGCTGTTCATCAGTGTTGTGAATACAGTGTTGCCCTAACAACTGATGTTTATTAGTTCTTCCCAGGTGTTATGAGTAGACTGTCACCATAGCCAATGTGGGTTGGCTGTTCGTCAGTGTTGTGAATACAGTGTTGCCCTAACAACTGATGTTTATTAGTTCTTCCCAGGTGTTATGAGTAGACTGTCACCATAGCCAATGTGGGTTGGCTGTTCGTCAGTGTTGTGAATACAGTGTTGCCCTAACAACTGATGTTTATTGGTTCTTCCCAAGTGTCGTGAGTAGACTGTCACCATAGCCAATGTGGGTTGGCTGTTCCCCAGTGTTGTGAATACAGTGTTGCCCTAACAACTGATGTTTATTGGTTCTTCCCAGGTGTCATGAGTAGACTGTCACCAGAACCAATGCGGGTTGGCTGTTCATCAGTTTTGTTAATCCACATATTATATGCATACAGATTGCCTACTTCAGTTGAATGTGTTCAAATCTGATGGGGTTTATGTACTGTTGGAGGTTTTTGGGATGTATTTGTTTTTCAGACCATGTTTAAAACTTTTACAATTTTTGATTGACAAAAATCTCATCCTGAATTATATCAGTGAATATTGACATTACTGAAGGACATACATCGTTCATTCACAGGACCGACATGGAGAAAGAAGATGTTCTTCCAAACAGAAAACCAAGTCTTGCCACAGCAGAGATGCGCTTCCCCACAGGTGGTGTGAAGCGGTACAGACAGAATCGTGGTGGTGGTGCTGCATCTAAAATACGCGGAGGTCGACCTATGCCTGTTTTAAGTCAAGGTAGCAGGATTCTGCCAGAAAAAAAACTATTATGCGCCAGGGCCCTTTGTACCTCTAACTTCCTAGCACTGTCTGTCATCACTGTCGTACTTGAACATAGATGTAGGTCTGTCTTGCACTACAACTGTCTTCTACTGACGAGATTCTACCTTCTTCTCAAAATACACACTGACAGTGGTACATGAGACAAGTAAATGTAAATGAATACAATAAATACCAAGATAGCACGGATGTACAAAGTGACATTGCAATGATTTATAATACATACACAAAGATATATTATGAATCATTGAAAAGCGTAAATGTTACAAATTAGATTTTTTATTTGGAGCTTTTTGGAAACAATTCTAAAATATTTTGCTAAGTTACGTAAAGTGTTTGTTCTTTTGAATTTGAGAAGATTCGCCATTTTTGACAGATTCGGACATTGTAGAAACTGATACCAAGTGACTTTTGAAAAATACCTGATTTCTATTAGCCACAATTAATGTCACCAACAGTCACAAACTCCTTAATCTTTACCTGGTGTTCCCCCACCGTGATATTGCTGGAATATTGCTAAAAGCGGAGTAAAACCAAAACTCACTCACTCACTCACTTAATCCTTACAGTACAGTGAGCTACCTGCAGTTATATATTTGTATATACTGAGGGAAATGAATAAGGGAACGCTTACTTGTTAAGGTGAAAAGGCGGTGTTCTTCCAAATGTTTAAGGAACAATTTAACCATAATGGATTGAAAACATTGCCCCCAAACGCATCCTCAGGGGTAATTTTTCATGTGCAGTTTAAGCACGAGGACTATAAAAGCGTGGGAACAATTTTTAACACAACAATGCCTCGAATTCGCAAGACACTCAAAACCTTAAAATCATGCCACGTCGATACCATTCTGAAAATGAGAAATGGCAGGCAATCAGGAGTATCAATGGTGGGACATCAATTTGTGAGACAGCAAGAGACTTTAACCAGTCAAAAAAGTGTGATATCGTGACTGTGGAACTTATACCGCCAGACAGGCGACGTTAAGATAAAACGTGGTCGTGGTTCCAATAAAAAACGTCAGCACGAGAAGATCGTCATTTACTGTTGATTTCCTTGCGAAACCAGTTCAAATCAGCTTTAGAAAATAAACACTGAGTTCAGAGCAATAACACAGTTACGAATAAGCAATCGCACAGTTCGAAATCCGGTAGTTGATACAAAGTGTCCCACGTCGATGTTAAGAAGTGATCCGGAGGCTTGGGGGACACACCAGATACTGACAAATCAATTGTAGTGTGCGTGACCTTTTAACAAGGCTCTCACAAAGTCAACTGTCAATAAAACATTTTTTTCTATATACTCATGCATGCCCTTATTCATTTCCCTCAGTATTTTCACACATGTGCACAAACACAAACACACTAATCAAATGGGTGACCTTAACATTGAACCTAAAACACTGGCCTCAGCCTCTGCCACTTTACTCTTACCCTCACTGAAACAACAAGAATGGGAGAATGGAGATAAATATAGCATGTAGAGCTATGTTAGTCATTTAAATAATGGTAATACTTGTTGCTTTGCCAGTGTCCAACCAGCGGTCCCAGGAGGCAGTCCTTGTCCACAGCTTACAGGTAGAGATGGAAGGAACTAGGAATGCCGTCGAGACGTTGGAACACCGTATAGATGCCATGTCTCGGGAGGTCAAAAATATAAGTCAAAATGTGGACTACATATTGAAAGCTATCAACTCACTGTCAATGCCCTCCGAGTCACCATCACCTTCCGGAAGACAGCATTTCTCTTACGGCCATTCACCTGACACGGACGCTTCATCATTAACAGCACAGGTGGGATCCCGCCACAATAGTTACAGTGACAGTATACCCCACAGTCATCCAGGGCGGTCCTCACTCTCACCAGCCTCCAGTGTCCATGGAAACAGCCCAGGGGAGGCAACTCATGGCGGTGGCAAAGGGGGGAATTTGGAAGCATTATCAATCAGGACATTGAGGCATAAGAGGCCTGATGATGCTTTAAACATTGCAGCCAAACAAAAACTAGGGCTACCATTTTCAGATCCACATTATCGTAAAAATGACAATTTGCATGAACTTCAACCGTCAACTAGTGCTTCTAAAGACAGTTTTCAGTGCCAGTCAGAGACAGGGGGATCAACACCGAGTCCGTGCTTTCAGGATAGGAGAGACTTTGCTGAATTTGAAGGCAAAAAGGGTGTGGCATCAGCAGCTCATCCCAGCCAATCAGAGGCAGTGTTTAACTTTGTCAACGAACTCACAGAGCCTAAGACAAAAATATTTGTCAGTCCTGAAGATGTTTCCCTGGAGACAACTGAACTGTGATACATTGTCAGATTGTGGTCCTCAGCCGACACTTGTCCTATTTGTACTTACATTGCCTCATTGTTACAATTTCATCTTTGATCGTCACTGGAGAGAGAAGTCATTTAAGAGATTTTGCAAGATTATGAAGACGTTAAAAATTTACCACACTGTTATTTCAAATGGCACTTCATTCTTACCGTTACTGTTTTAATACTGAAAATCTGTATCTCAAGAACAATCCCTGATGTGTTAAATTTCTACATTTTACAAAGGAAAATGTAAAGGTGCAGCGTCTCTTTACTGAAGTTTTTCTAGATGAAAAATTTCTTCACAGGACATATAGTTCCTAATGTAGAAGATTGGGTTAAGTAAATGGCTAATCCAAAGCAGGCTTCACCTGAGATTTCATTTAGGACAGCCTATCTCAGTGGTATCAAACACTTGATACACTTAAGAGCTTGGCGTAACAAGGCTTTCTCCCACAGTGGGAAGCTAATTTCAACATCAACACAATGATGTTTCATATATTTAGCACAAAATAAAACATACTTATAATTGAAAGTCTGGATCTTTTTTCAATTCTCTTACCACTAAATTTTGTTAAATATTAAAAGCACAAACTCATTTAAAGTTGCTATCAATACTGATAAGTTTTTGAAAATACTATAATCAAAACCTGTTTAAACTATATGAGTAAAACTCGCGTTCCCACCTTTTTCTTTTTCTTTCGCCAACTACTTAACATTTGAGGAAATAAAAAACAAATTGAAATTTGAACTTGTTAGAATTTTCAAATACCGTACATGGACCCTAAAACTTTGGACTAAAATCCATAAGCAAAATTGAGAAAAAAGGTCTGGCTAAATAGAATGTAATATCTACATATGAAGATTGAAAAAACCTGTGATGTTCGTGAATTGACGCTGCACCTTTAGACCTGTGTCACAGCTTGAATACAGATTCCTCTGTTACCATCACTGCCAGCAGCATGACAACTGTGGTGGGAACACTGCTGGGCATTTCATTCATCTCACCATGTTGTAGATGAGTGTTTGCCATGTTGAATTTGTAGTATATTTACTTCATGTTTGTGTCAAGGTTCTCATGATCGATAATGTCACTGATTTTCTTCAGCTTGTCATTTATCACTGTTTGTATGAACTTTAAATGTGGTTGTCATTACAATGCCAGTTTGCTTCATGAAATACTCAACATAAGACTTCACATCAGAGGTGTTCAACTCGGCATTAAATACTCATCAGAAGACCTCACATTAGAGGTGTTCCACCTTTCATTAAATACTCTTCAGAAGACCTCATTTATGAGGTGTTACAATAACCCTTCAGTTTTCAGTGGATAATTCACATGTTTATGTGTATTGCAGTTTGACAGATTAGTCAACAAGCAGCATTGTGGGCTGTTATTACCATGTTATCTCAGCTGAAGGATTTCAAGTTTTTTGCTTAATTCTTTAGACAGTTCAAGTCATGGATGTTTCCTGTTTTAAGGAAGTTCCTGCTTGTTATATCAGCAGTGACTACACACTACTACAGCTGTTACCATCATTAAGTCTTGACCATTCCACCAACACACCTACCTACCTACTCACCTTTCCCTACTCTTTGTGCTTGCCCACTGCTTGCAGCTTGTCATACAAGTCTAGATCTGTGATTCTGCAAATACAAGCATCTTACCTACTAATTAGGAATCTTACTGAATTCATTTCTGATTATTTGAGATAAAATGAACCTATAATTGTCGAAACATCAGTTTGAACACAACAGAGACTTGTGATGTGTTGAAATAGATAACATACAGACATCTTGAACACACATGGGAACAGTGAGCTGTTTCCAACAATACCTTAAAGGAAACTAAGTGACAGTAATTAGACCCGTACGCTTGGTCTGTGCTGAATATCCCTGACTGATTACAGCAGTGAGGGATCAGGTTGAGATTGTCACATCTACCCGCACATATACCACTCAGACATAAGACGTCATGGGTGGCCAAGGTGTCGGAGGCGCCACAGTTCACCGAGTTGTGTTTCTTGAGAGTGCTTGAAATCTTAAATCAAATCCTTAGTTACCTCCATTGTGTGTTTCTGATTTTGTAGGCACTTTACCCGCTTCCCCAAATGGTCAGCATCTGAGACCTCTATGACCTAATGCTTCCTTCCCACATCAAGCTGGAATTCTGTTTAAAGTGGCTTTCAGCCCAATTCATTCATTTATACATGTACTTTATAACATCCAGGTGTAAAATCTCAATCAAATGTTTCAACTGCATTACAATGTTTCATTCACAATTTCCAATTTCTTTCAAGTTAACTGATTAGTTTAAACTTTCCCTGTAAACTTTGTATAAGGTTGTGACTTAAAAATACTCAGCCTTGTTAACTTTCTACATATTTTGAAAAAAAAAAGATATTTAAAAAAGATGTGTCATTAAGATATTTTAAATATGTGATGGTTCATTTGACTACCTCTTGTTCCTTGATGTTAGATGTCCATGTGGATTTATCAAGTGTTGTCATGGTTACTGTAAGTGTTCATGATGTCAGTTTTATCAGTAATATCAGACTTGTCTATCCAGCTGGATGATCATGTCAATCAGGATTGGCAGAAAAGTTAATGTTCAGACTTTATGAAGTAAATATCTAAGGCCATTTGGCTAAATTGTTAGCATTGTGTCATTTTATGAGTGCTTCTGGCTACAGCTGACTTAGCAAGTCTTGACGTCTGTTGTGAAGCATGAATATGTAAGAGTTATCTCCCTGGAGGGTAAAGTCATGATTTAATGTGGTCCAAATATGGTAAACTACAGTGTTACTACTGACACAGTGACATGTATATGTACTGGAACATCCCTCAGACGATTCCATTTATGATTCTTGAAGATTTATATTTCCTGGCTATATCTGTTGTTGTTACTGAGGGCCCTAAACATGGATTTCCTATCCACAGGACCACCCTATTAATAATATACTAACACTTTTTTTAAAATATTATAAATAATATATCGTAAAAATAGTCATAATTATGTGTTTAGAAATCCAGTTGTAGTTTTTCTGAAGGATTCCCATGGTTTACCCATCCTGTATCCATCATTACCGTCCTTTTACCATCCTATAATCATTGTTATCGTCCTATTTCCATCTAAGGTGAGTAAATGTTGCTTTATGCCATCAGCAACTTTGTGGTTATTTACAGCTGTCTAGGTAAGGAAACAGGCTAATTCAACTTATGCATTATCATATTTCAACAGTTTCTGCATATGTTCTGCACTAGTTTACACTGAAGCAATTCACTGTCCAGAGTTGCCTCCCTCATATGTGCCAGGATCTAATGATTGTGGGCTCAAATCTCAGACTTTTACTCTTGGTTTGTCAGCTCCCAACAATTTGGTTTCACTAAGTGATAAACTACGACCCTTTATATCAAACTGATGCATTAAGATATTAACTGAAATAGTGCTTCATGTGCTGAAGCTATATTAGAACTTACCTCACTCACTCACTCGTCACAGTTACGAAATGTATTATAGTTGTAGATGCTACCTGGAAATTGACCAAGTCTAAAGGGTTAAATGCCATGGTGAACACTGTTACAAGTGCACCAAGACAGCCTGTGCTGTGGAATCCTGCCTGTTGCAGACAGCCATGTGGTTGATAGCAGGAGCACCTGTTCATGTCACTGTGATACCATGGCTGTATTATAGGTATAAAACTGGCTGTATTACAGGTGTACGAACAACATGCATGTTCACGGATCTACTTTGGTTTGGATATGAAGACTACTCTAGATGGATTAACGACATATTCTGGCGAAATGAGTTTCATCAGTTCTTGCAGAGTTCACTTTTGAGCAGGACACTTCATCATTTTTCAAACAAGTATATTTGTTTATTTTATGTTCTATTACGGGAAATATTGTTTTCATTTTAAGTATTATGTATAGAAATATCTGTTTATATATTTATCAGCCCTGTTTTCCAAGTTGTTCCTGAGTGTTGGCGGCTACGTTCATGTGATATTGACCCCTGGGTAATGTTTGTCCAGTTTCTTGCATGGCGAGGTTGGTGGGGGGTAGGTGTTGCACCTGGAGAACAAACCCTACAGACACTTACAGATGTTCCACACTCAACAGACAGTCCACAGATCTCTACTATCTACAGACACTGCTCTCGGGACCCACCCCTCCAAGTACTCAATAGATTTTCATACAGACGCTCAACACACTATATTAAGAAACTTTACACACATTCAATTGACATTTCCACCCCACATGGCCCCACCTCAATCCCACTGAGCCCTACACTCCCCTTCCTGCCCCACTATGGATCACCACGGTCACCCCTTGGAGACCCTCTTTGGAGCCCTAGCCTCCCCATTCAACTTGGAGCCCCATCTTAGTCATCTTAGTGCCCCCTATGGCTCTATGGAGAACACACACACAGCCACGTACCAACCCACCCAACCCCATCCTACTTGGGGCCCTACCCTCCCAGTCCTACTTGGGGCCCCTCCACGGAGCCCCATCCTACTTGGAGCCCTACCCTCCCAGTCCTACTTGGAGCCCCTCCACGGAGCCCCATCCACTTGGAGCCCTACCCTCCCAATCCTACTTGGGGCCCCTCCATGGATCCACACCCCACTTGGAGGTCTACCCTCCCAGTCCTACTTGGAGCCCCTCCATAGAGCCCCACCCACTTGGAGGTCTACCCTCCCAGTCCTACTTGGAGCCCCTCCATGGAGCCCCACCCCACTTGGAGGCCTACCCTCCCAGTTCTACTTGGAGCCCCTCCATAGAGCCATACCCTCCGAGTTCCACTTGGAGCCCCACCCCACTTGGAGGCCTACCCTCCCAGTCCTACTTGGGGCCCCTCCATGGAGCCCCACCCCACTTGGAGCCCCTTCATGGAGCCCCCACCCCACTTGGAGGCCTACCCTCCCAGTCCTACTTGGGGCCCCTCCATGGAGCCCCCACCCCACTTGGAGCCCTACCCTCCCAGTCCTACATGGAGCCCCACCCCACTTGGAGGCCTACCCTCCCAGTCCTACTTGGGGCCCCTCCATGGAGCCCCCCACCCCACTTGGAGGCCTACCCTCCCAGTCCTACATGGAGCCCCATGGAGCCCCCCACCCCACTTGGAGGCCTACCCTCCCAGTCCTACATGGAGCCCCACCCCACTTGGAGGCCTACCCTCCCAGTCCTACATGGAGCCCCACCCCACTTGGAGGCCTACCCTCCCAGTCCTACTTGGAGCCCCTCCATGGATCCCCATCCCACTTGGAGGCCTACTCTCCCAGTCCTACATGGAGCCCCTCCATGGAGCCCCACCCCACTTGGAGCCCTATCCTCCCCAGGCTACGCCATTCAGATGAAGTATTTCCATGGTGCTACTCCGTGTATATAGTAGGACGTTGTATTGTCAGTACAACTGTTTCTAATGTTCAATTTTACATGTTTATGTTGTGGTGAATGTTTAAGTTTTCCAGATTTATCAGTGTTAGATACAGATAAACAGTTTTGACTTAATTAATATTGCTCAACTTTTGTTAGGGATCCTAAGATATATTGCACTATTTACATGTGTAGATCTGTATTGACATACAGCTGTAACAGGAATACTGAATACCTTTCAGAGTGGAATTAAACCCAACTCACTCACTCGCTACAGCTGTAACAGTGTCTACATGTGTTCCTTTATTTTATGCCATCAGTATATTTGCATTTCTTTGAAACAAAGCTGACAATTCACAATATCTTGTAAACACAATTCCTAAGTTAGAACCTGGTCCGTTTTTCATGGATCTGAGACAACAAACTATATTATCCCACCGATCTCTTTTTACATATTTGTTTTCTATCATCTAAAGTTTCTCGGCTACTCATGTGTAGTTTTTTATTCCTGGGAGTTCATGTTCATTTACATGTACATCTTGTCTAAATGATCTGTTCCAGGACAGTAACTGCAATAGGAATGAATTCAGTCATACTTAACAGTAACTGAAGAAATCGCTAGAGACAGCCCATCATAACCTGTGACATAATATGCCAGTGTTGAGGGGACCTGAACATGGAACTGATCTTTGATTTACATGTGCAACAATCAAGAATATAGCCCTTGCAGTTGAAGGTAATAGTTACAATGTGTCACAATACAAACTCAGCATGGTTGCCCTGTGAAGATCTGGGAGACTATTTGTTTCAGTGGTGAGATTTGCAGTGGTGAGATGTCCTAGATTCCCAACTGAACCACATTCATGTTAGTCACTGGGCACTCTGGTCCAGACTTGATTATTTATGGACTGCAGTCACATAGCTCAAACATTGATAATTGTGACATTAAACAACAAACAAATAGTACTACTATTTAACTGTAAACCAGTGAAACAGTAGAGTTATGGACACTTTAAAGTAGCCACAGCACTGAGGGGAGATAACTCTGGAGCGGAGATTCAGTCTTAACACTGCTTTAGCTTCACCCAGTCAGACACAAGTCACCTCATTTATCTGTCTGGTTTTACCTCATGTGTTTACTTCAGTTTTATTTTGCTTACATTTAAAAACACATACTTTTTGACAAAGTGTGGTATCTTTGTGAGTTGCACTGAAATAAACTTACAATCACCTTGTCATCATTCCTAGTAATGGTGTTATAATTGCTGGTTGATAAACTCAATGATTTATGAAAGAAGAAATGAAGATCTGTAAAATATACTTCATTTGAACAGGTTGGAAACATTTAATGACACGGAGTCAAGGATGTGCAGACAAATGTGTGGGGTTGTATCCCTTAGGTGTCCCACGATGATAGGCTGACTATCGTCCCACAGGAATGGGTTACACAAGGCTGTCCACCTCTATTATGATTGTTACTTCTGATATACAAGACTTAAACTGGCATAATCAACATTAGAGACATGCATCCATGAAAATAAAGCTTCCTGAACATGCCTAAGTTCTTGCACTTAGTCTGGGAGGTGGGGTAGCCTAGAGGTTAAAGTATTCGCTCATCATGAAGACCTCCGTTCAATCCCCCACTTGGGTACAATGTGTGAAACCCATTTCTGGTGTCCCCTCCGCTGGATTATTGTAAAACTAAACTCACTCACTCACTCTTTGCACTTCCAAGACCAATTTAGAATCATCAACTGCTTCTGCTGATTGTGTGACATCAGTCTGTGATATCAATCCGTGTCCATAAAGGCAATTCTCAGAAAGATAAATAAAAAAAATGTGATGTACGTCTATACAAGTATATTTTCAAAACATGCATTTCAAGGGTTTTCTTCTGCTAATCTGCTAATGTGTAGGTTATACAGTGCATGATGTTGGTTCATCCATGAACCATATCACACACATGTTATCTACCAACAGATATATGTGTTATCTACCAACATATACAGTGAAACCTGCCAACACCGGCACCTGTCTTAACAGGCACACTGTCAAAACCGGCATAAAAACTTGGTCCCGCCATTTTACAACGATATTATGATAATTAAAACATTGTCTAATCCGGCACCTGTCTATTCCGTATTACGGCATGACTTTCCTGTCCCAACATGCAATTTTAACTGTACTTAAAAGTTAACACTGTCTAAACTGGCATGGGTAGGAGCGGTCTAATCAAGGACTCGTAATCCAATACACTAATTAATCCTCAGGGCACGCCAAATAATCTCGGCACATTATATTATAGAGATAAAGAGACTGACGAGTGTAACTGGCAGCCATGTTTGAAAATGATGTAACTGTCTAAACCGGCATTTTATTTCGGTCCCATGGGGTGCCGGTTTAGACAGGTTTGACTGTACATGCGTTATTCACCAAGTTATCTGTAGACATGCATGTCATCTACCTTTCAGTATCAGCTTTATTCCCGCTCAGTTACATGCCTACTCTGGGGTTGCTTAGCAACGCTGTGAACGGAAACTTACACTCATGTTGAGTCTCGAGATTGCGATCGCATACGCATTAAATTAATTTTTTTAAGGTCATATTTTAAAAGTGACCATGAAGTGTTCATTCCAAGTTCTGCTTATGCTTGCATTATCCTGCTATTATTTTCTAGGATGTATACAATGCGGATGTCATATACAGAAAGGGTAATCCATTGTGATTTATTAAGGTCATGTGTTGCTTAACATCTTCCAGTCTCTAGGTATAGCTTGATGGCAACCTTAAATTATGTTAATTTTAAAACCAGATGTTGTTTAAATCAGTGGTAGACTATCATGGTAAATCCTAAACAATAGGATAGTTTATTAACCCAGTGATGAAATGGTTATCCTGTCAGTTATACTGAGGAAAGCAATGAACTGTACAAGGCATCCTCAAACAATGGTAAGTTTATGTTACTTAAGAATTGAGCAATTGTACCCATTCTCTGTCCACCTCATCTGTATGATGGTCTCAGATAAACCTGTTCTTGTTTCTTGTTGATCTGGAGGCTTTCCTGTCATGTTCGCTGTTGACCTTCATGGCCATAAGGTTGGCCATTGTTGAACAAGTCTGTGACAACCCCACACTCACCCAAACTGTATATGGTCATTTTTACAATGGTATTAAACCTGATTATCAAAATAACAGTTTGTTTTGGTGTCTTCATTTACACTTGTCACTTGTAAAGTGGATTTTGATCCCCTCAATTGGGGCTGTATCAGCTGACCCATTCAGGAGGCTAGAAGCATCAGCTTTAAACATGATGACCAACTTCACAAGGAGGCTAGTAGCCATAGTGTAAAACACAGTTGACTACCTGTAAAAGAAAGCTAGTTACTGCATTCTAAAAACATATGACCGAAATTACAAACTGGCTATTTACAACATCCTAAAACTGGTTATTTGCAACACATGTTATATTTGGCATTACACATTTTCAGTAAAGTACACATTCTGGAACTTTTATTGGGTTGAGTCCCATCCGGGATTCGAACCCCCACCCTCAGAGTCAGGCACCTGTTATGGCCAGCACACAAAGTCAGCTGACTAACACAATCATCCACTGTGGCTTCACTAAAACGGATGTGGGACAACTGGTAGTCAATATAGCTACACCACGGACTTTGCGTACCCTTTCGATAAGTGTAAAGTGTTCATTTGCAGTATCCTAAAACCTACATGGCCATCATTAAAACATGGCTATCTGCAGCATCAAAAAAAACCACTTGACCAACATTACAAACTGGCTATTTATAGCATCCTAAAACCCACATGACCAACTATAGTATTCCCAGACATTATTGAGAAAGTTGTTTCGGCAAATATGAAATATCTAATACATGTATATAAATTATAGCAGTTTTACTTAAATTAATATGTTGAGATATGATCTCTTACAGTCTAAGTGTCTTTTCAGTACTTTGTGATACCTCCTTGCCATTCAATACAGGATCGAATGCGCCTAGGTACACTACCGATTAAAGTTTGTAGGAAATGGTGTGACATGCAGCGTGTCCCCTTTCTTCATATCCTCAATATTTCTAAGTCCTTCTTGGCTTATTTTGTCCTTCATTAGTACCCACACATTCTCAATAGGGCTAAGATCTTTAGCTGGGCCAGTCTAATACTTGAACAATTTCGTCCGACAACCACTGTTTTGTGTAGCCTGCAGTGTGTTTTGGGTCGTTATCACTTCATACAGTGTTCGGGCCGTTGGAAGGAGGTGGCCATTTAAGATGTCAACATATCGTTCCTTCGTCATATTTCCAGTGGAAATACACAACGGCGTCACTTCATGTGATGATATCCCACCCCACATGTGAAATTTCGGGCTGTGTTTTGGGCGTTGGTAGATTAGTTTCACTGTATATTTTGTCCAAATGTTCACGCAGTTCGGAAGAGGCCAGACAGAACTTTCATCAGAAAAGAAAACATTATCCCAATCTTGATTTTCGTGAGCCCTACGCGAGTTTAAACGTCTTCCTTCCCAGATAGCATTCGCACGTTGGCCCAACGTTGCAATGTTGGCAAAAACCATTGCCAACGTTGGGCCAACATCTGAATGCTATCTGGGTTTTTGTGCATCGTTCATCAATGGTGAGGGAATTCCGCGCTTTTTCACCCAGTTAAGTCTTTGTAATTCTTGTCTAAGGATTTCATTACATCCTCTATTAAACATCTCGTTTCTTCTGATATTCTTAACGCCTTTTTTAATTTACCTCTACTCACAATCTGACCAAGTCGCCGGCGATCCGTAGTACTGAACTTCTTTGGCCTCGCTGCCCCTGTCTTGTGCTCAACATAACTCCTGACTGAACATTCTTAAAAGTTCTGTATATACAGTAGACAGAGGAATGTCATGTCTACCAGCTAACTTATTTTGCATTAGTCACATCCCTTTCAAAATCATCCAGAACCAGCTTTCTTTTCTCTTCAACAAAGGAAGCCGTCTGCTACACCAGGGGAGATAACTCTTGATGTAGTAAGGTTCATTTTAAGCCTACAAGAGTTGCGTCCCATATTGAGTACCTTACTACATAATGTAACACCTATTTTAAAATTCTATTATCAGCATTTTCTCAACAAAAATGTTCTCAATAATTTCTGGGAAAACTGTAACACAGAAATACTTGTCCAGTCTACATCTGAATCTGGATTGAAGCTGACAACTAATAATATCACGCTCAGAGACTATATGTGCACTTGTCTGTGAATCAGTGGCAACCTATTCCGCTCACAGGTTGGTATGAACTATAACGATGGACCAGCGGTGACACTGCCATCGTGATTTTGAAATAATTTTACTGAAGCGTCGTAAAATAACTTTCACTGGCCAGGTTCAGAGAGAGCGAGAGCGAGAGCGAGAGGGGTGGGGTGTGGTGGTGGTATATGATCTTTATCTTAAGACGGTGAATATGTTTCACATTTGTTTTAGTATTTCACACTTGGTTTATTTTATAATATGGTTCGACCAAATGCAAGTGGTGCGGACATTACAAGCCGCACGGCGATATAGTAGATATATATGTGATGCATTGGGGCCTCAAGAATGCCATGACACATGAGGACTGGGTACACGATTAGTTTGTTCCGGAGGCTTGTCGTGTGTCGGAGGCTTGTCGAGCGAGGATCCTGGTCGAATCGATGTCAGGCGGGCGACACCTGCGCTTTAATGAGAAGCATACAGGATTAAGTTCGATATGAACGTTTACATCCAAGTCTGTCTCGTGCATGCTCAACTCATTCACCCATCCGTCTAACCTCAAACACTGTTCTATAACAACTGTTAAAGTCCACCTCAGTTGACTACAAGATAACACAAATCGAAACATTGTGACAACGCAATCTAGGCAGTGGCGCGGAGACTGAACAAACTTTAAGATACAAAGTTTTACTACTTGTGGTTTATCCTGTGATATATATGTGAATATATCATGGGGGTTTAAACGCCAATAGAATTCTGACATCGGTGCCTCTCTTTCTTATGACACTTGTATGGGTGCTGATTAAATTGATATTTGTACTAAAAAAGTAGTAAAGCATAACAATACTGGTCGCAAACAAAATGCCCACCAAAGTTCCAGAAAAAGAGAAATGTTTAAAAACATTCAGCATCCCTTTGAAGTTATCCATAGATCGACAACTAGATGACACCAGTCAGCCAAAAGAACTTAATTTTCATAAAAATATTCAGACAAAATTGTTATAAATAATTTACCCAGTGTGTTTTATAAATGTATACCTGTGGCACCTCATTGTAAAAAAACAAAAGTACAGAAATCCTGAAGCAAATAATTCTTTGGTTATTTAAAATTATGTAGTTCAAAACCAACTTCAATTTGCACTTGTGGTTTTCTCTTAAAAATATGAACACTTTATATTATTCATACTTTATGCTATTTAATGTTTCATATTTCTTTTAAACATATAACACGATATAAGTAGCCTATGTAATCACTTTGTAACTCTGTGTTCAACCAGAAACCATATAATTTATTCAACTTGGAAATAACCGGATATTGCGTTTTCATCGAGGGTTGTTGTTCGTTGTTAGGGAAATAATATGACCTTACCCCGGAAGCGCCACTTATGCTCGTTTGAGCGTAAACAGTGGTAAGACGCGACGACATACGAGGAACGAGCAAGCAGGTATCTGTTAAACGGAGCTATCCTTACGGTGTCACGCTTTCTGATTCGGTTTAGTTTGAAGGTGAGCACTTTGTGTATTATGAATAATGATTTCTAAAATAATTAGCATAACAGACAAACTCTTGCAATTTGCACGGTGAAGCAAGGCGGTATTTTTCCAAACGACGTTCGACCTGCCTTGACGAGCATTGCGAAATACCGAAGTGTTTGTTTGCTTGATTTCAACATAAGCATTACACATACCCTACTATTTCCAGTGCCTGACTCTTGGGATTGTAAGGGGTGTTTGATCGGCTGGTGAAGCCAAATCCTAAGGCGTTTGTTAAGGGGTATACCTAACACTAAGGTAAAGGTGCTTGATCGGAAAGAGGGTTCCAAGTGTTGAGAGGTGGGTGTAACTTACCCGACTGTAATACAACTAAACCAAAGGAGGCATACGAGATTTGTGAATCGAAGACCAGGGTCGGCAATCTGAGCCTATTAAGACTATAGCAAGCCACGCCCAGTAATTTAAACTGCAAGCTTGCTGTACAGGCATTTGCACAATGCAAGTTGTCTAAGGAATTCTATTGAGAGCGAGGACCAGAATTGATTTTGGTAGGTGTAGTTTGCTCTGTGGTATAATGCTGTCTTGTTGGTGCCAACGCCACAGTCCTCACGTTTCTTTGCATGTTTTTTACATCTACTGATTATAACTCTTCCCTTTGTTGTATCAGGGAGACTCTATAATGTGCTGTAGATTATCCCTGGTTGTGTGTGTGTGCGTGCATGTATTTGGGGAGGAGTAGGTGTTGTCTGTGCTAGGGGGAACACCAATCTTCATTGGCTAGTAAAAAAATAAATACCCAACACAAATAGTGCAGGTCATGAACTGAAGCAACATCAGTTGCCGAGAGAGTAGTACATTTTGCAACATCTTGACCATGTTGACTCCAGAGAGCTTCAATGGATTTGGTCCAGCCCCACACCTAAACGCTTGGTACATCTATTGTCCTAAAGCAAGTTACTTTGCTCAAAGTTCCTCTTCTCACTCAGTGAACATGGTGAATGGGTACCCGGCAGGACGAGGAGGTGAGGTTAAATTGGGTTTAACATCGTGTCTTGAGAATATTTCGCTCATATGACGACGTGCATGCGTGTGTTGTGTATGTGTATGTGCGGCTGCTTGTACTAGCCCAGACTGAAGATGGTTTTATAGTGCTAGGCCACTGAGATACCATGCCGCAGTGAAGCATGAATACCCCACTCAGACACATACTGACTCCGAGCCGACCAGTCCTTCTTGTACCCAATAATGCCGAGCGCCAAGCAGGGACCAACAAGTACCATATTTTAACGTCTTTTGGTATGACTTGGTCAGGGATCGAACACACGATCTTCCGCTCTACTGGCGGACGCTCTACCCACTGCACCACGGAGGCGGTCAGGATGAGAAAGAAATAGAGCTGTGATTTTTTATGCATCTCACAGATAGTTTGGATTGTATACTCTGTGGAGAAGTGAGGAAGCTAACAGGTTGTACACTGCTCCCCTGTCCAGGGCGTACACTGCTCCCCTGTCCAGGGCGTACACTGCTCCCCTGTCCAGGGCGTACACTGCTCCCCTGACCAGGGCGTACACTGCTCCCCTGTCCAGGACGTACACTGCTCCCCTGTCCAGGGCGTACACTGCTCCCCTGTCCAGGGCGTACACTGCTCCCCTGTCCAGGGCGTACACTGCTCCCCTGTCCAGGGCGTACACTGCTCCCCTGTCCAGGACGTACACTGCTCCCCTGACCAGGGCGTACACTGCTCCCCTGACCAGGGCGTACACTGCTCCCCTGTCCAGGGCGTACACTGCTCCCCTGTCCTGGGCGTACACTGCTCCCCTGTCCAGGGCGTACACTGCTCCCCTGTCCAGGGCGTACACTGCTCCCCTGTCCAGGGCGTACACTGCTCCCCTGTCCAGGGCGTACACTGCCCCCCTTGTCCAGGGCGTACACTGCTCCCCTGTCCTGGACGTACACAGCTCCCCTTGTCCAGGGCGTACACTGCTCCCCTGTCCAGGGTGATGACTTACCTGTCACTGAGTGCAATATAATGCTTAATGAACAGAGATTTAATTATTGCTGTTATTGGACAAAACAGACACATGTCGAAACAACATCAACTAAAAGGAATTCAACACGATTGATGTTTTGGTGTGTCATGGTTTAGAGTTCAGACTCGTCATGACACGTCAAAAACAGGACATCAAACTCAATCCCAGGCGGTGAACTTGAGGAGCTCAGGAACGTTATAGTTAATCCGATTAACCTGATATGGGAACCTGAGGACAGATTATGTAAGGGTATGGGTTCTGTTTACATGATCACAGGTAATGAAGTGATAGATCCAAGAGATTGAGGTCAACCACTTGAAGAAAGAGGTCTAGATTTCTGAAGAATTTGGTTATATTAAAAAAGCAGTCGTATCCTTCCATCATGTTCAGAAATTAATTTGTTATTCGTGATCACTGGAATGAAATATTCATGAATATTTTACTGGTATTTTACTTACCCAATACTCGTATTCATTACCCAATATTCATATTCATTACCCAATACATATTCACTGTGATTCATTACCCAATATTCATATTCATTACCCAATACTCGTATTCATTACCCAGTACTTGTATTCATTACCCAATACTTGTATTCATTACCCAATACTCATATTCATTACTCAATACTCATATTCATTACCCAATACTTATATTCATTACCCAATAATTGTATTCATTACCCAATACTCGTATTCATATACATGACATATATTATATTTGTCTTATTGTGGATTGCAGCCTTTCTGCTCATCACATTTCAGCAAAACATTCAAACATAGATTGTTGTTTTCACTGTTGTTCTCATAACAGGTTTATTTAACAGGGTTTGGTTTAAAGAAATGAAATCTACTTGCACCTGGTGCAACCATGGTAATAGGTTGCACTTGCTGATCAATATATAGTGATATATAATGCTTGAGTTTTGGTATTGATAATTTAGAACATCATTATAAAAAAGTTATTCTGGATCTGATATAATAGTTTCATTCTAATTCATACAATCTGAAGACAGTAACAGTCATTTAGACTCTGTCCATGTAGTCATTGGTCCAAGTCAGTTCTCACCATTCTGTTTCCCATCTAAAGTCCTATGATCTTTGAACAGCAAATTATTAATAACATGAACTGGGTGCAAGTAGGTATAAATATGAGGTTGCATTTTAAAGTTTCAGGTTTGTGATGCTTATATCAAACCTTGCATAAACATGTATAGAGATTGCAATCATTGTTGAGCAAATATTGAACATTGAAATTGATACCATTCATGGCAAGTGTGGCACTTGAAATAGTTTAAAATCATAATTAATAATGTTACTTGAAGTAGTGCTTTGATGAATAGTTTATGGCAAACAGATCAGCTGGTGAGAGATTGTAAATGGTAAACCAAAAATGTGAAATATGAGATATATATGTTGTGGTACAAGAAGTGTTAATCAAATCAAAAGAGAATTTTTAAAAATCAAGAATTAAGCTCAAGCTGGTAAAATCGTGTTAGATACTGGTCATATCTGATTGTTAAGCTGATAATGAAGGAGATACAAGCTGTGTTGATGAGGGACATCCTGACAGATGGGCAGCGTGGCATGTTGATGGCCTGCACATGAGCCAGAGGCAGGACCTACAGACACATGGCGCCTGAGGGCCTGGGCACAAGAATGTGTACAGTCTCTGAAAATATTGTTCTGATAGAAATGTTTTAATTGTAAAGGAGCTCCAGTGTGAAAGGCCATTCAGAACCTGAAGAAAGTCTAGAGCTTGGTAGTAGTAAAGGTGGAAGGGAAGCAAATTGTTAGGGATTGTGTAACAGACTATGGGTTGGATAGGGGCATGGATGAAGGGGTACCGGTGAAGGACAGGTTTGGGGGGAAATCAATGTCCACAGAGAGCCTGTGAGGATGAACACCAGGAGGGACAAGATCTTCAACCTCCTCCTGAGAAGCAGTACCCGTGAGGATAAAGGAGATTGGTGTGTGGACAGACAGGGCCCCAGTGATTTCACTTCTCATGGAGACGAGTCTTCAATAGAGGACTAGATGCTAGTCACAGCTGCAGTAATTGTCTATGGAGAATGAGATGACCGGACAAGTGAAAAATCAACTTTGGTTGTCAACAGACAACCTTAAAAAATAGCGGAAATTTAATTTATGTTGAGAAAATATTCATAACAAGTTCTAAAATAGTTTTGTAAAAGTAAGAACATAGTTTGTATCACCAGTCTTACTGACAGCAGTGTTTTGTTTACGTCAGTCAGTATTCGGTCACACCTTCACCATTCCACCTTGTACAGAAAACTGTGTAATGACCACACTTGTGACAAACTGACAAATAAACTGTTCCTTTTGTCCTGGCCTATTGCTAGATGGGATTAGCCAAAATGCATATAAATACGTGGTACCAGTCAGTTTTTTGTAACCAAAGGCTTACTTTACTTCAAAGGGTCGTGGCAGGTAACATCGCATAAAATGGATGGCGTCCATTTGAATATGTCCAGAAATGAATGAATTCATCCATGGTAGAAACTGTTATAGAGGTACTTAAAACTTAAACTTATTCATCAAGGGTTTTTTCAAGACACCTAATTTGTGCATGCATAGCACAATAATTATCTCAAACAGACACACACAATAACAATGAATTATTATGGGATAGAGAACCTGCCATGGGTAACTGATACACCTCTATTTTTTGCTGATTTTTGTAGGTGTTAATTAGAAAATCTTTGATTCTTGGATTATGAGGTCATGTAAATAATCAATGCTTGTTAATGTTCTTAACCTTCTTGGCCTCTTAGTGAGACATAGTTGCCAAAAGTGAGTGAGTGAGTTTAGTTTTATGCCGTTTTGGCAATATTCCAGTAATATCATGGCGGGGGACACCACAAATGGGCTTCACACATTGCACCCATGTGGGGAGTTGAACCCAGGTCTTTGGCGTAACGAGCATTTGTTTTAACTGCTAGGCTACTGCACCGCCCCAAAATGGTTGCAAAAACAACAAACATGATGCATGTAGTCAGTTCGACATTATGTGCATAACTGAAATTTTATATAAAATCCTAGTTCTGCAGTGTAGGTTGAGCATGTTAAGTTGCGTTGATGTATTTCAAGCATGACCACAGGTGAATATGGCAAATCCATAATGCATGTTTCCTATTCTCTCATTGCTATTGATTTGTCAACATCGGGATAAGCTGTGGAAGCGTATTGATCTCTTTGAAATAGAGACACATATTTGCAGTTTGTCTTCATGAGTTGCAGTTCC